TATATATATATATATATATATAGTCATGGGACGTGGAGTATAGTGTGGGAGTGGAGTCAAGGGAATTGTAATAGCTATGTATGATATTGGGGGGAAGTGGGGTGGCGGATTGGGGGAGGAGGGTTGTCACTTCGAGAGGTAAAATGTATAACTATTGCACTGTGTTGTATAGCTGAAACTAATTCTAAAAAAAATGTGTATTTCATAATAAAAAATAATTAAAACAAAAAAAAGAAGATCAGAAATGAAAAACATATATTTGTTAGGCTACTTCAAAAAAATGTGTACATCCATATGTTCATTTCAGAATTGTTTACAATGGCCAAGATGTGGAGTCAGCCTGGATGTCCATTGATGGATGAATGGGTAAAAACTAGGCAATACATACGAGGTCTGACAATTAAGTTTGCAAACTTGTTGCAATGATGTTGCTAACCTTTTTTGATATCAGAGAGATTATTCATTATGGATTTGTACCAACTTGACAAACAGTTAACCAAGTTTACTATTTGGAAGTGCTGAAAAGGCTGCATGAAAAAGTTAGACGATCTGAAATTTTCACCAACAATTCATGTCTCTTGCATCACGACAATGCACCAGCTCTCACAGCACTGTCTGTGAGGGAGTTTTTAGCCAGTAAAAAAATAACTGAATTGGAACACCGTCCCTACTCACCTGATCTGACCCACATGACTTCTTTCTTTACTCAAAGACAAAGGAAATATTGAAAGAAGACACTTTGATGACATTCAGGACATCAAGGGTAATACAACAGGAACTGTGATGGCCATTCCAGAAAAAGAGTTCTACAGTTGCTTTGAAGGGTGGACTAGGTGCTGGCATCAATGTATAGCTTCCAGAAAAAGAGTTCTACAGTTGCTTTGAAGGGCGGACTAGGTGCTGGCATCAATGTATAGCTTCCAGAAAAAGAGTTCTACAATTGCTTTGAAGGGTGGACTAGGTGCTGGCATCAATGTATAGCTTCCCAAGGGGAGTACTTCAAAGGTGACCATAGTGATATTCTACAATGAGGTTTGTAGCACTTTTGTTAGGATTAGTTCACAAACTTAACTGTTCAACTGTTCAGTCATGGAAAGGAATGGGTTCTTGCCATCTGTGGTGACATGAATGGACCTAGAGGATATTGTGCTGAGTAGAGTATGTCAGACAGAGAAAGACAGATGCAACGTGAATTCACTTATGTGTGGAATCTAAAGAACAAAATAAATAAACAAAACAGAAACAAACTCATAGACACGCAGAACATTTTGATGGTTGCCAGATGGGAAGGAGGTTGAGGGGGCGAATGAAAAAGGGAAAGGATTAAGTAGTATAAATTTGTTGTTACACAGTAGTCATGGGCATGTAGGGTGTAGCATAAGGAATACAGCCAATAATATTGTAATAACTATGTATGGTGTCAGGTGAGTAGTAGGTTTATCAGAGTGATAGATTGGAGGGGATTTGGGGGCTAGATGAAAAAGGTGAAGGGATTAAGATGTACATACAAATTGGTAGTTACAAAATAGTCATGGGGATGTTAAGTAAAGCATAAGGAATATAATCAATAAATGGTAATAACTATGTATAGTTCCAGGTAAGCACTAGACTAGAAAGGGGGATCACTTCTTAAATTATAGAAATGTCTAACCATTATGCTGTACACCTGAAAGTAATATGAAATAAAATCAATTGCCAAAAAAAAGAATCTATTGTTGTTAAAGAAAAAAAGGACAAAAGAAACTTAATCTTTAAAATTAACAAAAACAAAAAACTAAATACATATAGTGTCATGAAAGTTGTTTTTCAAATGATATGATACACCATAACCTGGGCTTCCCCAGGACAACCTACCACAGTTTAAGTCTCAGACCTAGAACCAAGGTGATGATAATGTGCAATTCCCCCTGTAATAAGAACAACTCATACCACTCCTTCTTAATTCACCCACATGTGCCAACCAAATTAAAGACTTACTACTCAGTCTCTGTAACAGAAAACTATTTGTTAGGAGTAAAATTTAAAAATAAAGGTGAGGGTAAAGGGGGAGGGGGTGCTAGATGAGGGTAAAGGGGATCAAATATATGGTGGTGAACACACAATGGGATATATAGATGATGTATTACAGAATTGTACACCTGAAATCTATGTAATTTTACTAACAATTGTCACCCCAACAAACTTTAATAAAAAAGAAAGGAAGAAAGAGAGAGAGAGAGAGAGAGAGAGAGAGAGAGAGAGAGAGAGAGAAAGAGAAAGAGAAGGAAACACTAACCACCCACTCCACCCCTTCTAACCACTATTGAATCCCAAGATAGGATCCTCTCCTCACCTGAGCATCCTACCTCAAGATAGCTGTGACTCGACTTCTTCCAGGACTGAACAAAATGTGTTATTTTTTTTAGACACACAAAAGAGTTAAGCCAAATCTTAGGGCAACATCCAATAAAAAGGATGCAATACACCAATTGTGACGATCCTCTTGTAATTTTTATCCAGTTCCTGTTAGCAGAAATGGAAGGTCAAATTGACCTCACTCCATATCCACATTTCAGAATAAGAAATACATTTTTTAAGTGGCATAACTACTTCCACACTTATTAGTAAAGCTAAGTTTACCAAAACTATACTCTAGCACATTTTATAGTTGTTAGATAGTAATAATTACATGGTTACTTTTTTTGTTAAATTAATACTTCTGATCTGCCTCACCCGGGAAGAGCGCAATGATAATACCAACATGGGCCAATGAAGCAATGTCCTCCACAGCTAGACTGAAGAACAAAAAAAATGACAGCAACTTGTCTGTTCCCCTCCCCCAGTTCCCCAATAAAATCTTTAAAAAAACAAAACAAAAAAACATATATATTCAATACTTGGTCTTATTCACATTATTCTAACAAAAAATATAAATAAATTGAAATACAGACTTTCTTTTAAAAAGAAATGCACTGTACATATTTTTTTAAAATAAGGATTATAACATATTATTCCTAGAGCCTATTACAGTACCTGCACAACTTAAGATTTTTTTAAGTAAATGAGTAACTGCTATATTGCAATGAAAGATGTTTTTTCACATTATGGACATCTCAAATCCTGTGAAAGAGACATTTTTGCTACACCAGAACCCAGTGGCCTAGAGTGCACAGCACTTAGAGGGCTTGAGGACACTCTAAAACTAAAAACCATGCAAAGATTGGGACTTCCCATTCCCACTCCAGATGAAGTTATGCAGTCATTGGTTAGAGGCAGAAAAAAATGCCATATCCAGAACTATCCTCAGTTTATCCTATACCCAAGTTTCTCCATCGCAAGGAGTAGGGAAATGTTGGTATCAGGAGAAAATAAAAAAAACAAATACAGAAAATATTCACAAATTCAGCAATCCAGGTATATCCCAGTTGGTGAGGGAACCAAATGCCCGTTAGTACTCTGCCATGAGACTTGTAGGATTAGAAGGACTTCTCATTGTGGGATGGTTTCTATCCATACAGCCTAAGCCAAGCATGGGCTCCTGGCTGTGTCTTCGGCAGGAGCCTCTGAAGAAAATAATCAAGATGTGTTTATATTTATCCTTTTCTGTAGAACAGCCTGAGTACTCGCTCACGAATCTGCTGAGTCTTCACCCCATAGACAACAGGGTTGAGTGCAGGAGGCACAAGGAGGTAGAGTGTAGCCAGAAGAACATGGATGTGATGGGGCACATGGCTGCCAAAACGGTGAGTGAGGAAGGAAAACATTCCAGGAACATAGAAGACCAGAATGACACAAATATGAGACCCACATGTGCTAAAGGCCTTAAGTCGGGCCTCACCCCCTGGAAACTTCAGTACTGCCTGGAGAATGAGGGCATAGGAAATACCAATGGCCAGGACATCTAGTCCAACCACAAGCAGTGCCACTGCCAACCCATAAGCTCGGTTCACTGTGGTATCTGAGCAAGAAAGTTTTAACACAGCCATGTGTTCACAATATGCATGGCCTATGACAGTGGCCTGGCAGAATACAAGTCTCCACGACAGGATGGGGAAGGGGAGGAGAAGGAGTAATCCCCGCACCAGCACTGCAATTCCAATGTGCCCTATTGTTCCTGGATGCAAGATGGTGGAATGGTGCAGAGGGTGACATATGGCTATATAGCGATCCAGGGCCATGGCCACAAGTACACCTGACTCCATGGAAGAGAACGCATGGATTAGGAACATCTGGATCAGACAGACAGTGTACCCAATCTCATGGGCATGACCCAGGAGCACTGCAAGGACTTTGGGTGCCGTGGAGGAGGCCAGGACCAGGTCAATGCCAGATAACATGGCCAGAAAGAGATACATGGGCTGGTGCAAGGATTTGTCGGTCCAGATGATGAAGAGGATGGTGACATTGCCCACTAGAGCAAGGAGGTAAAGGACACACAGTGGCAATGCTATCCAGTGCTGGCTGTCCTCTAAACCTGGGATGCCAATCAGGTAAAAAGAAGGCTGGAGTAACCTCCAGCTGGAATTACTAAGCGTCATCATAATGGCTCAGAGGGGGAAGAGAGAAAAGAAGCCAAAATCATGATTTCTCCATTCCTGATGGATTATAGCATTGTCCAGATATGGCTACCATCTTCATGAGAAGAAAGAGGCTTAAACTGAAACACAAGGGAATAAAGGGAATAAATATACAAGGAAGAAAATCTCCTTTTCTTGAGTTAATATGTTTTTATAGCTGAGACATTCACTTGTCTGAATTAGGATAGGTCTAGTTTCATTTAGAGATAAGAGTAAGCATATGGTGTTTTTAGAGACATGTTTAAAGTCTTCCATTCAATTACTTCTAATTTGCAATTGTCTACTTGAAAGTATACTCTTTATTACCTCTTGGCATTACTGAACAATGTAAACCAATCTGTTATTCTTTATATTAGTCCCCCTCAGTTTCCATAACATAGTACTCTACAGTTGTTCCTCCTATGTCCCCAGTACTGTAGTCTTCTAACTATCCATTATATGCTGTTGATTTCTACCTTCTCCTGTTTCCTATTCTATACATTATGTCTTATTGAGTTCATCCTTTTGCATGGTTTTACATCCTTTCTATTACTACTATTTACATCCTTTCATTTCTTTTAATTATTTATATACTTTAATACTTTAAAATCTGTATTTCTAATCAGATGTCTTCCTGAAAAACAAATCCATTTTTTTATTTGCTTCTTAAATAACTATACCACACATTCAATATATTCAAGACCAAATTAACTCATCTGTTCTTCCCAAATCTCCTCTACCTACATTTTGTCTATATTTTTGTGAATTACATTACTTTCTACCTATCCAATGTAGAAATTTAAAATTATCCTTATTCATTCTTATCTCTCATCCCTCTCACCTTTTCACCAGTTCCTGTTGACTTTATGTTTAACTCCTTTTTGTCAATGCTTAATATCACCGCTGTCTAGTTCACACTCCCAACTTCTCTCACCTGGATTATTTCCTTAGATCTCTCTGCCTTTACTATTATAATCTTCCCAATCACCCTCCATCCTGAAGTCAAGGGTTTTTCCCAAAATGAAGATGACATCATGTCACCTCTAAGTTTAAAATATTTAGTGAATTTAATCCATGGAAAAATATCATGCATTTAAGACTGGCATACAAGGTTTTCAAAAGTTATCTTATATAAATTACCTTATGTCAATATCGTTATCATTATGAATATTAATAATAAAAGATCACTGAGTATGCGATCACTGGCCTCTTTCTTTTTCTCTTTGTCTCCATGAGTCTGCTTCTCTGTTTCAAACTTTTATTGTCTATCTATCATCATGATGTGATGATGATTCACTGTTTCTGACACTCCTATGTTAACAAGAAGTACCAATTAAATAAGTGCTCTGATTAACTTTCCACATATGAGTCACCTCCTGGCCATTAAAACAAAAAACTTGAAACTGGATATGTTTGTGTCTGTATGCTTGTTTTAAAAGACAGACATAGCCTGAAATAATTATATTTTTTATGTAACGGAGGGGAGCACGTGTATATGTTTATGTATAAAGAGTCAGAGATAGCTCAGTTCCTGTGAATTATGCATCCTTCTATAGATCACTCTGGGTGTCTTTTTATAGATCAATGATGACTACAGTATTGCCCCAAAACTCTGAACATGGCAGCTACAAAATCAGAAATGCCTGGTGGGCATATATCTCCCAGCCTTTTTTTTTCCTTCCAGATTCAAATCCACTGTTAAGTTACAGTGACATATTTTCATTGAGACCCCTCCACCAAAAGAATCTCATAAACTTACAAAAATTCACATTTTAGTGCTTAACATTCTACACAGTGAGAAAGTTATTTCTCTTTCTTAACTACTCTCTTTCTACTACAAGTTTCAGCCCATTGTTTAGCTGAGGGGTCAGAAGACAGCTATGCACTTGGAGAAGGCCTCCCATCGCTTTGACATAAGCCACGTCAGTGGAGCAGTAAAGAATGAAGCCAAGCTACGGTGGGTGAAGGAGAGAAGCAGAGATAAATGCATGGGCCTGAATATAACCTGCCTCTTCTTTGTGCTGCGTGTCTTGGGAGTCTAGAGGAAAAGCCTAGAGCTGCTTATTAAGCATTAATTACTAAAGTAACAAGAGGCCCTTCAGTGATTTTTAGAAGAGAAGCAGAAGGGACTTTATTCCCAGGAACCTAAAAGTGAAGATATATTTAGCTCTCTGATCAGGAAGCAGAGGACAATTAAGAAAGAACTAGTGTTGTGCCTTCTTACTTACTCATGTAAATTCAGTCCAAGTGACCTGTCTTCTGTGAATCTGTCCCCAAATTCTGTACTGCAGTTTGGTGTGTGTCCTTTTCTTTCCTATGAAGTCACTTGACTTGCTGTCATTGCCTTAATTACTTTGGACTGAAAGCCTGTCAGTGTGTCCGTCCTTGAAGAGTAGGGATTGTGCCTTGCCTCTGGCAGCAGTCTCGGGACAAGTTCTAGAATTGCTGGACTCTAACTGGTACTCAGTAATGTTTGCTGAATAAATAAATATCTATATTATTAAATTTTAAAGATAAATAGACTAGCGTATAAAACAACCAGGAATCATGGGAACTTGACAAGACACACTGAACTTACAGGATGGGAATGATGTAACAGACAATGGGGTGTCCATGAAATGGACTGATTCCTCAATGCTCCTCACCTGAAGTGATATTCTGGGTGCTCCATGGCAGAAGGAACCCATTGAACCTCTCTGGCATAGCGGCCATGACAGAATATTGGGTATGTGTCAGGAATAAGGGACGCCTATGGTCAGTACTGGTCATGTCTGTCACTGTCTATGTTGCTGCAGGCAGGGAGGCTCCTCTATGGGATATGGCCTGTCACTGTCTCATTAATCTCCTTTTTAACAATGTCATGGACTTGATGATAGTGCTAAAAGGGAGATGCAGGGATACACAAGTTAGCTTGCAGCAATGTGTAATCTGAAGGGCAGAGGCTAAGAGGAATGAAACAGAGAGGGTTAGTTTTGAGGAGTCAGACCTGGGGAGAACAGCTACTCTGAGACAATGGTACATAAGTTTAAGACTACTAAGAGGTATCAGACCAGAGGTATTGGAAGACTTGGAGTCATAATGGCCAACTAAGCAATATAACTCCTATCACAAGAGCTCTAGGAAAGGCAGAAGAAGTGCGCTGTTAGTAATCTTCCCCAAATCCATAAGCCCCAAACCTAACCTCATTTTCCACACCTGAAATCCCATAATGAACATTTAGCTGATTCTGTCATCTTCACCCTGAAAGGCAAGTCTATTCTTGATACTTCCTCACGGCAGGGTTGGTGACTGTGAATGAAGCACTGGGCAGGCATGATGTTATTACCACTTGACAGGTCTTGGGGGACACACAGACACATCTCGACAGAGCCAAAGTTAGCCTCCAGATTGGCTGGAGGCACACAGAGCTAAGTCTACTTCCCCAGGGATAGCTGGTTGCATAGATAGGCAGAGCAAAGAGTGCCACCTGCACCTGACCAAGTGTCCCACATCTGTCTAGTGTTGGTCCTCACCCCTAAGGCTGTACATCCTGATGGCTGTGATAGGAAACTTCATGCTCAGTGAGCTAGAAAACCTCACTATAAGTTCATACTTCTCATTCTCACAGGTCAAACGCAGACCAAATAATTTCTTTAGTGGACTTTTGGTTATATGTGTTCATTCCTCCATCTGCTATGAGTATTGGCTGCTAAAAAGCTCATAATTGAGTCACTCTCACGTGAGCAAAGAGAGCTGACTTATGCAAGATTAATATTTTTATCTGAGAGCAGCTCTTACTCAATGACTGGTCTATATGGAAATACAAAGACTTGATCCTCTTTCTTCAATACAGAACAACACTGAAGGGCCATTCCTCTCAAAAGCCTCCGCTGGAATTAGCTCAGGCATCTGGGGAAATTAGATCATAGCTTAACTTCTTTCTCTGTTCCATCCTGCTCCCCTCACTTTTGACAGGTGTTGTTTCCAAGTCTGCTTCACAATAAGCTTCCTGCATCCAAATCTCTGCCTCAGTATCTGTTTCTGGAGAATATAACCTAAGACAAATGCCACTTGTCTCAGGCTAATTGAGTGCTCTGCTTCTCTTCTGGGGGACTGTGACAGGTCCATGGACATCAAGTCCAGTACTACGGTAAATATAAAATTAATATAGATTCTCAAACTATATATCCCAGCAAGTTCCCAAAGAGGTGGGCTAAGACCTCCTCTATCATCTTCCCATCACCGGGCAAATCTTTCCTTTGGTCCCATCTCTGATAAAGCAGCTACCAGTTCTCCCCAGTGTCCACATTCTCCTTTGGAATAATGCTTCAACTGCAATCTACTCATTCATCCATTCAACAAGTATTTCATTCACAGATCATGGGAAGCCTAATTTTTCATTCATTCATTCCATGGATATTAAAGATTTACCAAATATATGTACCCTGCTTCATGTTGGAAAAAACAAATAATGAATATGATAAATAGTTCTTGTCACCATAGCTCATAGGATGATATATGTTATGTATGTGATCACAGATACCTAATAACAGTTATAAGTGTTATAAATTAAAATTACAGTCTGTTAAAACATGTAATATGAGAGCCTTCTCAGTCTGAGGAGTTCAGGGAAACCCTCCCTAAATTAAGTTAGTGACTAGATGAATGGGTTAAAAGTGAAGAGAGATGTAGGAATATGCTGAGGATACAAAATCCCTGAGGCAGGAGAGAAGGAAGCCTAATATTGTCAAAGACCTGAAAAACATCATGAAATTTGGGAATGCAGTACTCAGGAACTGAGCATGGTGTGTAAGCAGAAAACAGCATGAACATTTTAGGTCATGTTAAAGGGCAATGAAAAGTCATGAAAATTTTAAATAAAAGATTGAGACATGATCAGAATCTCATTATCAAGTATCATGCTGGGCGTATGGATGGGTAGGAAGGAAGGAAGCACAGATTCTGGGGGACCTGTTGGAAGCAAATACAGTGATCTCTCAAGAGGTCCAAGGATATGCCATGGGAATGGGTTATGAGGTAAGAGTCTTTGGGGAAAAAGAAATCAGGAATATAAAAACCCAGAGGGTTCAATGTGTCATTTACATAAATACTGAGGTCCCCACCAGGATTATGGGTAGCTAAAAAAATAGAGAAGATATTGACCAAGTCATCATTTAATGAAGGAGAGCAAGCAGGAGATATATCCATAACTGGGAATAGTAGAGGGTGAAATGCATGAGGTACAAAAAACAAGAGATAGAAGAGGTGTGAGAAAATGAATGGTCCCCATTTAGTAGAAAGTGTAACATTTTAATAAGAAAAAAAATCAAAACAATGAGGACATCAGTTTCATATCCATTTTGTGGGCACTAAATGAGCGAGTTCACGTGCAAGGTTTTCTTTTCCAGAGCTCAAGGTACCATGCAGTAAGAGCTGAACAACAGGAGCTGTTCATATTATCAAGATTTCATGCTAATAAATATATTCAGACTAAGACTGTTCAAAGCTAGTTTGGCCAAAAGCACTTAGAGACCGCTAAGCCCATTGGTGGTAACCATCACTCATCCTCCACCCACTAAGAGGTCTTCCTTTCCAATCCTGTGGCTGCTCCCATTGTCCTGCAAATCTTTCCTCCACTTCCACCCATGGGGTGTGGACAAAAGCTGGGCAGTCTCCACTAGTTGCCCTTTCTTTGAAGAGCCAGCGTCTTGTTAATAATATTGAAGATTAATGTTTAACAGAGTATGTCATAGAGCAGAAGCTGCTTAGGGAAAGGTTGAGGCAATCTCCCCCTAGGAACCACAAGTTTAGCCCTGACCTTCCTCCTACCTATCTAACAGCCCAGGTCCATTTTAAGCCCTGGTCATTCGTTGTATTGCTTTGACCTGACCAAACCCATGTCCCGTTTCTGCCCATTACCTTCCATATAGATTTAGTCCTCTATGATTTGGGACCAATCTCTACCACAGCACTATCACATTTTACCATAAATTCTATATTTTCAAGTTTATTCTATCATCACACTGAGGGCCTGGTAAATACTCAGGATGAGGAAGAAAATGATGAAGAAAAGGAGAGCAAATGACTTTAAAAACGAAGACAAATGCTAGTTTTCTGTTTGTTCTGTGCTTACACACAACAATGAGTCTGCATTGTAAGAGTAATCATGTCCTCTAGTGTGTCTGCACAGTGTCCAAAATTCCAACAGTTGAAATTACATTTGAAAAGACTAAGTTAAGGTGGCATTACTCATGAAGGTGGCAATAAAGACAATAGTGTTAATAGTATAGTAATAATAGTTAATAGTAATAGATTGCGATGGGAATTTTGTAACAACTTATTTCATTTTTTTCAGTGTAAATTTATTGAATACCTACTGTGCTACTTTGGAGATTTATATATCCATTTATTCAAAAACACACACCTGTCAATGTGACTGATGAGGAAATATGTTAGTATTGACACAGTCCATTAAAATAATGATTTTTATTTATTGAGCAAACACTTATTGAGAGCTTATCATTTACCAATTACTATGCTAAAAATATAACACAGCTCACCATTTAGCAGGAATGGAGACAGAGATCCTTCAAACATTCATTACATAATTATAAATTATGAAGAAAAATGAAATAAATATACACAGAGCTCTGAGTTCAGAAAACAAGTGGCCTGATCTAGTTATAAAAATCTAGGTGAGGTTTGAACTGAAGTTCAAAATGAGAAGGAATGGTAAGGATAAGGATATGCGTTCCCATTAGGAAGAGCCCAGACTACCCATGGCTGGAGGAAGCATAGACACTTGAGGAACTAGGAAAGTTATATTAGGACTACATAACACTCAATCAACACTACATGTATTGCAAGGATATGTAAATACTTAAGAGCATACAACAAACACATTAAAGTGAGTGCCAGTGGTAAGGTCCAGAAGAGAATGTGCAAGGGAGTTAGGAATGAAGACAGAAAATAAACTATTAAGAATTATTAGAACAATAATTATTATATGCAATAAACTTTAATTCAAGTCTCTGCATCTAAACTAAAAAATGAAATAAAAGACTTATCATTACCCTCAGAGGATAAAACTACATAATACCACAAGAGTCATTGACAGTCATCCATCTCAAAAACATGCTGGAAAAGTATATGGAATAAAGAAATCAAGCTTTGTCTGTAATTCTCAAGTAAGATAGAAGATGAATTTTTAAATAGCTTCTCTCATAAACTGGAAACTCTAAAGTATCTCCATAGTTTGCAACCTTTTTTTCTGTGATGCCAAAGTATTTCTGATAGAGAGGGCCTATCTGCTCCCACATACTGGTTATGTGTCAGTGTCATGGTGATGGGAAGTGGCCCATATTTTTGTATGTTTAAAATAGGCATCTAGTTCATCTCTTCCTGAACTTCAAAGTTACTTGATCCAAGTCTGTCAAAGTTCCTAATTGTTTCTTAATTACATGACGCATTTATCTTGTCAACACAAGTTAATCATAAACTTTTAGAAGAAAAAAGTACCAAAAGAAAATATTTGCTGATTGATCAATTAAGAGAGATACCCTCTCTCTTCTCAGTTTTCCTTCCCAATATCTAAACACCATAGGCCTCAGGAAATATTTCCCAACTTCCAAACACTTGGGTTGGCTTTATTTGCTTTCTCTTCACTATCCCTACAAGATAAATGACCTGGGGATGGTCACCCTGGTCCCTGAAGTGCAGCTGATGGGAACTGTATTCAGGTGGGATCAATCCGCTTGAGGCTTATAATTTTAAACAACTGCTCCCGGATCTGCTTGGTCTTGACCCCATAGACAATGGGGTCCAATGCTGGGGGAAGGAGCAAGTAGAGATTGGCAAGGATGACCTTGGCAGCAGAGGCTGTGGGTGGGCCAAAGCGCTGCATGACAACAGAAAGAAAGCCTGGTCCATAAAAGAAGAGGATGACACAGACATGAGCCGTACATGTGCTACCTGCTTTAGCACGTGCCTCAGATGAAGGAAAATGAATTATGGTCCTCACAATATGCCCATAGGAGTAGGCAATAAAGGCCATATCTCCCACACCGAGAAAGATTGCCACAGCAAAAGCATAGAAGTTATCCACTGTGGTGGCCCCACAGGCCAGCTTCACCACCGCCATGTGCTCACAGTAGGTATAGGCAATCGTGTGGGAGCCACAGTAGGACAGCCGATGGGCCAAGCTTGGAAAGGAGATGGTCAACACCACACCTCGCAGCACCACCAGGCCTCCAATCTTGGTGACTACAACTGGGGTAAGAATGGTTGCATAACGCAGTGGGTTACAGATGGCCACAAAGCGGTCCAGAGCCATGGCCACCAGCACTCCTGATTCCATGGCAGAGAATGCATGGATAAAGAACATCTGGGAAAGACAGGAATGGGAGCTGATGGCTGTAGCACCAAACCAGAAAATGGCCAGCATCTTGGGCAGAGTGGAGAGGGAGAGAATCAGGTCGACAAAGGAGAGCATGGCAAGAAAGAAAAACATGGGGTGGTGAAGGTTGCGTTCTGTCCGGATAAGGAAAAGCAAGACACCATTCCCAGTCACTGCCAGAAAGAACATGAAGCAAAAGGGAAGTGAGATCCAAATGTGGGCGGCAGTCAGTCCTGGGATGCCAGCCAGGAAGAAAGTATGTGGGAAGAGATGAGAATTATTGGAGAGAACGGTGGTGAGCATCTCATTTAGAAGAGCAAAATGCTACTGAAAAAAAAAAAAGGCAGGTTAAATTAAATGATGTGGGGGTTAGGATCTCAGGAGATATGGTCCCACTAACACAACCATCATTATCACTCTTCCCCCATAGTTCTCAGAAAACAGTCAAAAATAATTTTCAGTTTAGCCAATATTTCTGCAATATCTGCAAACACAGAAGAGGCATGTCAGCTTGGTCCAGTGGGAAATGCATTGCAAGAAGTTCAGAAACTAGGTTCCAGTTTCCAGAATTAGATATCCTTATATATCTGTGACCTTGGGCAATTCACATAACCAGATTTAAGTAAATGCTCAGGAACTTACGTTAAATCAAAATTCTTCCCATCATGCTCATATTCCCAAGTTCTGAATGCTGGTGCTAGATTTAATCAACATTGGCCTCATTTGGTCCCATAGTCTTATACCACTAACCTTTATCTGAAAATGCCTAAAATCCGAACACCTGGAAAATCCCTTATTTGGAGACATCCCACGCCTCCAAACTTCACTTGACTGACAGGTTAAGAATACATGGTCCCTGATGACTCCAACAGTGATCAAGTTCTTCTTTGGATTATTCCCCAATCATTTCACAAATACATAACTTGTCTATGTCCCCAATATCTCAATGGCTACCTGATTTCACCATCTCTGTATCTCCCTCTCCTTTAAAGTGTGGTTGTTCAGGGGGTAGGCACAAAGTTCAGAGCTGTGGTGACCTGGAATAAACAGAAGCTCTTGGTAATAACAACCATGTAAAAGTCAAAGAATTCTGTATCAGAGCCACATTATTGAGAACAGGAGATAAAATGGGCAGATATTTCCTCCAGTTCCATTTTTCATGCAATCAAACAAAGTGTAAAAATTATTCAGATCCCCAATATGTCCTGTGCCCAAACCATCATTTGTAGGTTAGAAAACTGAGGTCTAGAAAGAAGTCAATGGCCCAGGATCCCAGATCTATTTACTGACAGAATCAGGCAAAAACTTACATCCATTGATCCCTGAACTAGGAAGTCATCATCCTGTCTCCATGTCAGCACTGATTGCTGCAGAGCCAAGGAAGAACATCAATGCCAGTGGCCAAGAGTGGGCAGTAGAGGAATCAAAAAGCTAGAGTGATTTAGGGATTACATGTCTCCCATTATCCCCCAATACCTCCAGTACCACGATGCTCTCATGTGAAAGAAAAACACAAGGACACAAAGAGACCTGAGCTAGGGTCCGAGAGGGCTTTGGGTCATAACATAAGTGATTCACATTCCCGGCAGAAAAGATGCAGCCACGTTGATCTCACAGTTTCAGTGACAGCAAGAAGAGGTCTCTAAACATGAGGGAAAGAAGCAGAAGTTAGTCCAGGAGCATAGTCCAAGAAATAAGAAAAAGAACAGCTTTAAAATAACCAAGAAACTTTTGTTTTTCTCTCCAAGAGAAACCATGTGATTACTGCTCACACTTTCAACCACAGATGCTAAGGAGACTATGTGATGACAGCAGAGGTATGAGGGCCAGGAAGATGGGAGAATTGAGTGGACCTATAGTTCTGGTGTCATGGAACAAACTCCGGATCAATAGTGAAGATCCTGGTTTAGGGTACTATTTCTGCCACATGTCAGCTGTGTGACTTTAAGCAAAGCATCCTAACCATTTTCAAGCCTTAATTTCCTCATATATGAAATGAGTATACCAAAGCCTACCTCCCAGGATCATTGTGAGAATCCAATGAGATATAAATGTGAAAATTATTTGTCAAATGCTAAAACTAGTGCTTTTATTATTTTCACTGAATTATAAGAAATACATGATGCATTAGGAGGAATCTGTTCAAGAACAACAGAAACTTTAGAGATTCAGAGACAATGCTTTTGATTTGACAAAACATGCTAGATTCAACCCAGGGGCAGATATTATATAGTAGTAACCTGGAGCAACCCAGTCCAAAACTACTATGTCCTCCCTGACACTGCTCCTTTCCTCCTTCTCAGTGACCCCTCAGCACCCCCAGAGTATGGTATTGGGTGGGGAGGTGGAGGGTGTCAAGAAACGTGATTCTGACCACCTGAGCATCTGTTTCAAATTATCTTCAAAGCTGACCAACCCTAAGCCTCAGCCCACTTTGTGGAACATAACTGTCTTCGGAATAATGTAAGAAATAATTGCATCTGATGTCCCAACTATCCCCTCCGGATCAGCAAATGTTCTTCATTATAACCTTATGCCATAAAGAAAAGTCTGTGCCAGTAAGCTCAGCTCCTCTACCTCCATCAGGAAAGTTGGTAAAGGGAGGTAAGGGATCCTGGAACCAGAGGAATCTGGCACAGATATATACAGGGTATATTTCCCTGTGACTCACCCTGTGGGCTTCAAACAGGAGCATGTTTACAAATAGCTGACTGTTGAGTTGGGACTAGAAGAATATTTGCCTGCTTTGGAGGAAGAAATTTGCACACACCTAATCCCTCCCTTGCCTGTGTCCACATAACATGAAAGATCCAGATAGACCTCTGACAATGTACAGAGTATTGACAATATTTCCAATTGTCCCTGGTGATATCAAGACCATGCATTTTCATCCCAAACAGCCTGTCACATTATCCAGATCTGGAAAGATTGAGGGGAAACTAATTTGTGATGCAGCTTGTAAATATATATCACTCTTCCTTGGGACTACCCTTGGCCATTACTCACCAAAGAGCTGCACCTACAGAGGGATGAGAAGTTAAGCTACCAGTCAGCTCCCAAGAACAGGGTATATAATGGGCACCTTTTTAGGCATTGCTTTTAGGGATTCAAAGCGAAGCTCCCACCATCAAGATACCAATTAGTACTTCTGCCTCTTCTTCAAGCAAAGGTCTAACAAGGTCTTTTCCTCTTATTGGGGCTCCAGGGACCAACCCCAGAAGGGAATATTTTGAACAGCATACTCCAGGGTGCCATGTCAAGAGAGGGCCAAGGCTCTGCAAGCAGAAGCAAGGAGAGGTTTCCTGCCATGGGCAATGGGACCACCTGGTTTTGTTACTGGGAAAGAGAGTTCTTGGCTTCACATAGGAAAGAATTTAAATGTGAGCTGATATAGAGTTTAAAGTAAAAATAAGTTAATTAGCAGACAGTAAGAAAACAAAGGCCATCCCATAGACAGAGTGGCAGTCCCTAACAGCTAGTGGAAGAGAAACTCCCTCCATTCCCCAGACTAGGGTTTATATGTGTTTTCTGCTTCCATGGAAAATTCATTGGTATAATAGGGGGAAAGGAGGATAGAAGAATAATAGTAAGTAATCTTTAACTTCAGTAAGATGCAAGAATAAGAGCAGGTTTGTTTTTAACTCTTGTAAAGCACAACCTATGTTTTTTTTCCCGTGGACTTCATTAACTACAGAGATGGTCATAATGGAATCTAGTCTTTCAATAGTTTGCTCTATGTAATTGATTAACATCTGCCTGAGTTCTATGTCTTGGATCACACAGGCAGTAGGCTTAGAATCCAACCTTTTAGTTCCTTCTTCTGCAAAAATAGTCCTTATGTCCCTTCCCTATATTAGTTTGATGGCAGCCAAGATCTGATCTAGGGATAATGATGGGAAGGGGCAATACCAGAACCAGCATACAACATTACCTAGATGATCCCATGACGTAGGTAGAACCATGAGAGGAAGTATGGATGAATAGGCAGGAGCCTTTATGAGAAGAGAGAACCTGACCAGGGATTAAGGCTGGAGAAAATGGCAGGTGTCTCCTGTGCCTAAACTCAAAATGGTAGATACAAGGGTAGGCCAAGTCTTGTAAGTATTGCTATCCGTATGTTATCTCACTTCGGTGAAATAACTCACAATTCTGCCCCTTTTTAATCAATATCTCTACATTTGACTCTCATCTTTAGCCCCCAAGATCACTCCTGAAAGTGGTGCCAGATTAATCTATGAGAGAATATGCAAGAGTATGAAGAATAGACATTGCACTGAATTGAGAGAGGTTGGAGAAACTGAGTATGTACAGCTTACATAGGAGAACACTAGGGGTGGCATACATGATTCTTCATGGAGTCTTCAAATCTAGGAAGAAACTCCCAGTGAGGAAAATATAATTTGTTTTATGAAGCCAATGGAGAAAACAAGAATAAAAACATGCAAACTTATAGTTCAGGACTAAGCCAAACCTGTGTGCCTTCATAGTTATAATTCCTTATCAGAAATACAGAGGCCAACACAGGCTATATTGGAAGGAAATAATAGCACAAGATTGATTGGGGATGGCCAGAACTCAGAATCAGGCCATCCTTTTAGAAGACCATGTTCTAAGGTTACTAACCCAGTTCCAGAGGGAAGAAGACATAGCAGGTGTCGTTTTAGGTAGAGTCAAGATTATGAACCCTAACATAAAGCACTCAGTTTTCTAACAGAGAAGTCAAGTTTGGTAACAGTGAGCTTAGGACACATGACGCTATGATAATTCAAAAACTGCAGGAGGCAGGCATTATGCAGTAGAAAATACCAGTGGAGGAAGAAGTAGGCAAGACAAGTAGCAAGAGCAATTCAAAGGCCAGTCCAAGAGTAACTGAGGGCTTCAACTGAAACTTAAGCCCAGAAAATAAAGTCTTAGAACTGGGACATTCAATTAGTGTGAATATGGAGCACCTGACTGAAAGCACCCTCACTTGAAGTCAGAAATTGTGTAAAATATTAAGAGATTCGGACAAGTTTGAAGTTCCAAAAACAGTCAAGAGGCTTTGGAGCAATAATTTAGATGAAAACAAATTTTTTTTCTGAGTTCCCCTTAAGAGTGTGGAAAGAAAATACAGAGATTTTAAACAGGGTCAAGTGGAAGATACATATCAAACTGAGGCAAAGCACCACCAAAGGCAAGCAGAGGTTCATACAAAGACCTGTGGCCACACCTTGAAGAGGTGGAAACATCTTGAAGAATTGAGCATCTAATTATGTTTGTAGGGATTAGGGAAGGCTTCACAAATGAGGCAACAGTAGAGAGGA